AACTGAGTTCCTTGGGTAACTTTTTCAGGGCAAAGTAGCCTGAGAAGAATGCAGAGCTGAGGAAGAAGAGGAGACAGAGCCCCTGGCTTTCCTGAGGCTCATCAGCTTTGGTCCATGATCACCAAGTTCATGAGTGTTCCCAGCCCTAAAGCATACCCAACTTCCCCACAGGAAGAGGTAGAGATGACATGGTGGGTGCAGGGGGCACCTGCTAATGGGGACAGAAGCCTTGCCACAGGGCTGAGGGGACTTCTACCCCTGGGCAATTCTCCCAAGATTAGATACCAGGAAAATGAGAGTACAGTGGACTAGTCATGGACCACTGTCAATGTAGTCTAAGCTCTCCATGTAGCATGTGTCCTAGGAAGGATGTTTATTTTTCTGTGAGAGTTCTGGGCTAACACAAAAAGTCAAATGTATCTGACAGAACTGCAACTTTTCCTCGAAAAGGAAGAAAGCAGAGTGGCAGAAAGCAAATACTTATTGAATGTGAATTCTGAGCTCAGTTCTAAATGCCCTTGCTCATTGAATCCTATTATAAATTCCATTTCATACTTTAAAAAGAAACTCAAAATGTCCCAAAATCACTGGTGCCAAAGTCACGATAACATATGATAATCTGAATCTTTGTCTACCTGACTCTAGATCCCAAACTGCCTCCATTTGATGTTTACCTAAGCCTGTCCCCTGGATCAGAAAAACATCATTTGGGATTAATGCTGGGTTGATTCACAAAGGAGAGAATTCCCACAAGTTGGAAATGATGATTAAACATCCAGCAGTATAAGAAGATTGTATAGAAGGGTTGACACCAACAGGAGAAAAGTCTGATAGATCAGAACAAATTGTGATGGTATTTTAAAAGGGTTTCTGCCAACTCAAAGCATCCCTTCAGTGCTGGCTGGGGAAGGGAAGGTGCGAGATGGTGATCAGAAAGGAACTCTCTATGTCCACAAGTCCTGTGGTTTTGATAGGGGACTCAAGAGTTGGAAAATTTTAGTTTAAGGTTAAAAGTTATAAGCCTAGCAAGTAATGTGTATGTTAAAGCTTTTGTTTCAGAAACTACAGATAAGGCCTGTCCTTGCTCCTGGGAAAACAGCTGACCTCCTGGGGCACTGCTAAAGATTACCACCCGGGGACAACTGGAAGCATCAGGGCCTTTGTATTCCAGGGAGAGACAGATGACTACAGGCTCCTGGGAACAGCTAACTGCCCAGGACAGGAACGTTGCAGCTTCTTTCACCTAGTCCTCCCTGAATCTCAAAGCTCTCAGCGCACCTTGTTTATTCCCTGCTATAAAAACGTTGGCCTGGAAAGAAAAGACTAGATAATCTGTTAGGGTATGAAACCACCATCTTCTCAGATTGCTGGCCATCTGAATAAAGCACCCATAAAAGATTAAATCAGTCATTGCTTATAGGTTTGGTAGTGACAGGCAGCCTGAACGTCAGTGTCTTTTCCAGTTTCAGTTTTGCACATAGCAAGCATGATGGGAGGCTAGAGGTATAAGATTCGAGCAAACACAGTGTGAGCCTCAGGTCCCCACTGAAAGTTGGGTGCAAAAGTGGTTCTATTATAGGCCATACACAGACTGAGAAAATCTCATGACCTTGGAAGATTCTTGAGCATTACAGAGTGACTTTACTAAAGGGCAGCCCCAGGCCTTTAATCCAACACGGCTCCCGGCAAGGTGATAAAAGTGTTCTCATTCACTGAAAGTTACATGGCCAGAGTTCAGTAAACATTTGCTGAATCCTGTAGTTGAGTGAAAATATGTTAACATGGGATAGGCTGCCACAAAAAGGAATGGACCTCAAGGTCCGGTCTCCTTGGCCAAGCCCTAAGCTCAGATCTTTATTTGACTCACTTAGGTCTCCATACCCCCAGGGTAGGTATCAGTGTCCTAATCTTGAGGATAAGGAGCTAGTGGCCTAGAAATGTTAAGTGTTTTCCTAAGGTCACACAGTTCAGGTCCCATGTGGGATTCCCCAGCTGCACAGTCCCTGCACCAAACCTAACCCTTCCTGTGGATCTGGAGGGCAGCACGCATCAAAGTCTCAGCCTGGAAGGAACCAGCTAACAGAGCCTGGGGACAGCACACTGCTTTCCTGTAGTCATTTTATTTGCCCACATGCAGCTTTGGGGAGTGGGACTAAAATAGGCTTTTTATAGCTGCTTTTTAAAAAGTAATTATTCATTCCCTTCTTAAATGAAACAAAAACTTTGGTTTTAGAATGACTTTAATGAATGCAATTTTAATAAGACTATTCAAAATCCCCCAACATAATTCAAAATAAAAACAATGCCAACCTCAGAATAACTCTAAGGAAGTCTAGCAGAGTTCTAATTTTTTCTGTGAGGACTACTTTAATGTTTTTTGAAGTGTCAAATATTAAATGCTATCACTGAATATTTTGGAGCACTTTAATAAATACCAGGCTTCCTGGGTGACCAGCATATCTCATTATTCTCTGAAATTGTGTTCTGAACACTTATTCCTTGACTGTTTCTCCCACTAGACTTCAGGCTCCAGGACAGCAGTGAGTCTGTCTGCAACTTCCAGATACAGCACAGCTCCCAGTAGTGTGGGGATTGTTATATCTCTATTAAGTAGACAAATGCCCCTCTGTACTCTTGTCCAGTGGGCTCTGGTCTTCACCTTGGAGCTCAGTGTCCCAGGAAAAGGCTGGAAGAATGGAGCCAGTTATGGTGGTGAAGGAAAGGTAAGCTTTGGCACCCTGCAGGAGAAGTGGGGGAGGGGGTACTCCAGGGCTCTGCAGTTGTCAGTTCTTGGTAAGCTCTCCTCGGTGAAATTCTGAAGACCAGACACAAGGTTTAGCAAGGGCCCATCCAGACCATGAGATGTTGTTGGAGTCCCTGCTATTGGTCCAAAGAGATAACACAGGGTATCACAGGATCACAGAGGGTTCATCTTCAGGGCATGTTCTTGAGAGTCCATTGGGCAGAGAAGTGTGCAAGGTAGGGGTTCTGTCTGCCTGGCACTCAGGGCAGCTGGCCACAGTCACCTCAGACTAAGAGAAAGAGGGAGTGAGGAGATGAGGAAAGAGAGAGCCGGGGTTAGGGAAGAGGGAACCTGGATGCCAGAGGACAACTGGAGTTAGCTTTAGAAAACCTTGACAAAAGGAAGGAATAAAGAGTTGAATGTAGAATGAAAAAAAAAATAGATTATTCACTGTCGTGTGAACAATGGAACAAGACATGATTAGTAGCCATGCACTGGATGTGCCAATTTTGCTCAGAAGTGGTGTACAAAATATGCTAACAGTGCCCCCACCCTAGAAAGCTCAGTGCTACAGCCACGTTGTGCACTATGCAGATGGAAAGAGTACTCTCAGAAGTGGGAAGAATGTGGGCTTTAAAGTTAGAGATTTGAGTTAGAATTCCAGCTCTGTTATTGACAACTTTCTATTGGGGTGGTGGAGGGGGAGAGAGGAGGTGGTGGAGGGAGGAAAGGAGAAGGAAAAGGAAAGAGAGTGACAGAAGGAGGAAGAACAGAGACGCCCAAGTCCCCAGCCCTGGGTAAAAGTGGTAGCCTCTTTGAGCTTTGGTTCCAACATCAAGAAGACAGTGAGGATGAAAAACAGGGTTCTACAGTAAATAAGATCACTGGGTGATCTGATCATAAATTCCTAACTGGGCAGGCCCTGCCTAAGCATGTAACTTCTTCACTAAAAGGCTTAACTTTGCCTTAAGCCAGCCCGGTCCACTGTTTCTGTGCATTTAGGCTAACACATCTTTGAAATGAGCCATGGCCACTCTCAAGAGAGCACATAAGCTTGTTAACTATCCTGTAATCCAATCCCATCCTTGTTTTCTCCACCTCCATGGAATCTTCCTTATGTCCCCTCCTTAATTCCAAATGCATACAACAAGTTTCAAAACTGTTATTCTGTGAAGCATTTGAGGTCTTGTTCCAGGCGTATGTCCTCAGTTTGGCTCAAAGAAACTCTTATAAAATTTTTCTACAGCTTGGATGTTTCTTAGGTAGACAACAGGCTCCAACTACTTCCCTTAGAACCTTGGTGGTTGTGAAGATAAAGTCTCAGAAATCACCCTGGCTGTTGTAACTCAGTTGGTTGGAGCATTGTCCCATAACTGAAACATTGCATGTTTAATCCCAGCAGGGGCAAATGCCTACATTGTGGGTTTGCTCCCTAGTCTGGTCACATGTGGGGGTCACCAATTGATGCTTCTCTCTTGCATCGATATTTCTCTCTGTCCCTTCTTCTCTATCTAAAAGCAATGAAAAAAATGTCTTCGGGTAAGGATACAAAAAGAAATTATAAACATAAAACCTCAGTACAGATAAATCCATGAGAACTGTTTCACAGCCACCCAGCATGAATAGAAGTGTCAAAGACCCTCTGGTGCCCTCCCTGAAAATAAGGAAGGAGGGAGCCATGCAGATGAGAATGGGGCACAATTTGTCATGGATGTGAAAGGGCCATCAAGGGCTAAGGGCTGTCACCTCTGTCCTCTGATGCTTGCCAATCTCCAAGGTCTTTCACTTGCTCTCCTGGAACAACTCCACTGGTAAGTATTGTTTAGCTTGTCACTAACTGGGTCCCTCTGGATCTCTAGAAGACAGGGCAGTGACATGTTGGTTTCTGTGCCCAACCACCCAGCCCTGTGACCAGAAGGGGATCTTTGCAGAGTTCCCCCTTGTGAACTGTGAGAGTCCTAGGAAGACTTCATTCCTCTGCACCTGAGTTACTGCTTAGACACATGGCTCAGGGAAGAAGGGTTCTGCTCTGAGAACACCCTGTCAGCTCCTGGTGCAGCCATGTGTCAGGAGTGTGCCATCTCATTCCAGCCAACAAAACCTCCTTGGGAGATAGACATAATTCCATTCCCACTTAGGGAGGCCCAGTGGGGAGGGCAGATCTCAGGCAGGAGCATGATTCAAATGGGCAGGAAGGCAACCGGGCTCTGGGCTTGGAATTGCTGTATGATGACTATGTTCACAGAGGCCACCTTACCTTGGTGAAGGTCAGGCAGTCCTTGTCCTGGTCTTGGTCCTTCATTTCAAAGTCATATAGGGCTTTGCCCTGGGGTGGGGCAGGTGGCAGGGTCCGGAGGCACTGCACGTAGCTGGCTGGCAGGAAGCTGTGGGTACCACCCAGTTCCCCATGGAACCAGTGCTCATCCACCCTGTGCTGAAGGATGATGACATCTCCCCTGTTGAACTTGAGGTCACCAGGCTCTTTCTCCTCATAATTGTACAGGGATTTGCCATAGGGAAGCTGGGAAGGACTCTGAAAGCAAAATACAACATCAGTTACTCGGTGCAGCTTTCCTTCTGCCTGGGCAGCCTGGAGTGTGGGGCTCCCATGTGCTGAGGGCACATGCAGAATGCCCTTGCACGGAAAGTCTTTCAAAGAAACAGATCCCCTGTCACAGGAACATGCAAGTCCAAGGCTCTGCCTAGACAAGAGAGTCTATAAAAGGGCCCTGTGATGGTCATTCCCTCTCCAGTTATGTATCAGAGGGGCCATGCACTGCCCTGGGCCTTGTGTATGCACCAGCTCACTCTGTGCTGAAAGGACTCTGAAGCAGGGGCTGAATAATCTTCATTTACAGGGGAAGAAACTGAGCATGGAGAGCCTGAAGTCTCACACCTGTAAGGATAGGGCAGAATCCGCATTTAGGGGCTCTGATTCCAGAGTGTTCCCATCCACTACTCTGATGAATTGATCTCCATTAGGTGCTCTATCTGCCAGATTTCCAACAACTATCTTCCAACAAAATTTTCCTTACTTTGTCTTTGAAACTTCACAGCAACTCAGAACATGCCTCAAGGTGGGTTTTGAGTTGATGCAACAGACTTGCACAGACTGTACTGTGTTCTTCTCACTTGTGGCATACACCTTTGATGTATAGCTCCAAGGAACAGCCATGGGAAGGTAGATACCACCCCTGGGACCTTGGCCCTCAATGCGTCATAAGTTCTAACAACTGGTCCCTGGCTTTCACAGAGCCCTTCAACCATGACTCATAGTTTTTTTGATGCCTATAGCAGTCTGGTGTAGAAGTACAATTTCGAGAGTATAAAATAGTATCCTCTTAATGACATGGGATATTCCTGTTACTCTGTCAAGCTAACACTTTCAAAAGTGATTTGCCATCTTTGGTCACAAACAGTGACTAGCTTTGATACCCAAACAGATTTCTTAGCACTCTTATGCTCTTCAGCAATAAGGTGTCTGTGGAACTACCCTGTAACTTGGTGTCATCTTCCATTCCCTGGGCAACTCTCACTTAACTGGACCTGTTTCCTAAAGACCAGTGGCCACATGGGTTTCTCTTCCTCTTCTTTATCAGTGGCCAAAACCCACTGAACTGAGTAAGCTTTGCCAAAGGCCAATTCTATGCCAAAGGAAAACCAAAAATGTTACTATTGTTCCCATGTCAACACCTAACAATTTCCCTAACAGAAGCTGCATTTTGTCACTGAGGCTGCCCAAGCCAAGGATTTCTTTAGTTTTTGAATCAGTCAATACAGGCACAAAAGCCTGAAGTGGGAGTACATGATAAAGCTCTTTTTAGAGGATTTAATCGGTTGGCAACTCAGTTTCCCTGCATTTCTGTTTCAGAAATGTCAAACACAGGAGTTAAAAGAGTACCTGCTGGCAAACTGACAAACAGCCACCATTAATGAATTAAATAGGAACACATGAGGATTTGCAGATCTCAAAGAGGAAAAAAATCAGTTTGCTTCCAGTAACACTCATCCTGGCAGGCATTGCACTATATGCACAATAGACTGCAACAGGACTCAATTTTAGAGAGATGGGCAAAAGGGTAACTTATAATCCAAGGCCTGTGACCATAAAATAATAGAAGAGGCTATGGGCTGTGGGCCACACAAGAGCCAATCAGTCTCCAGCCCAGGGGTTCCAAATAAAGGACAATTTTGTACCCTGGGGGACATTTGGCAATGTCTGAAGACATGTCTGGTTGTTACAACTGGGAAGCAGGCACTATTGGCATATAATATGTAAAAACCAGGGATGTTGCTAAACAGCCTACAGTGCAGGGAATGCCCTACCCTCTCCATACACAGAATTACCAGGCCCAGAAGGCCAATAGTGCTGAGGCTGAGAAAGCCTGATGCAGCCCTTAGGTTAATTAACAAAACAACAGAGTATCTTCCTTGTTCTATTTGAACTTGGTGTATCACAACTTTAAAACTTAAATATAACATTTATTTATGTGATATATTTTCACTAGTGACCACATGGAGCAGTTGATATATCCTTTGAGGTAAGATGAGTTAAAGAAATGAAGAAAAAACTTACTATTAATCTTGAAAACTGGCCTCAACTAGGCACACAAAAGAAAATGTCACTTTGTCACAGACCAACTCCATTTCCTTTGGCAGCCAGACTGAGAGAGTCACGCTCAAAGTAGTACTGTAAGAGCCATCCATGTTGAAGCTATTTGGTCCTTTTGCACTATGGACAACAAGGGTGAGCAAGAGCTGCCATGTGCACTTCTGTTTCGATGTTCCGCCTTCCTCTGTGCACTTACATGCCATTTCTACAGACACACCTCCCCTCCCCCGTGTGGAGGCACACTGGCATTACTATTCTGACCTGCTCACACCAGCTTATTAACTCTGTTGACAAAGAGGATGCTTCCAAGCACTACTTACACTCATGTTGTACAATCCTGGCCCAACCTACTCAGTGAGGCTGGGAAGGACCTGGCTGTAGTGAAGAGAGATCCAGATACTGCCTTATGGCAGGGCTGGTGCTCTTGAATAGTGTGTCTTCACTGTTTCTGGGAGGCACACTCTCCTGACATTTGAAGGACTACATCTTTCATAGACTCTCTAGAGTGAGCATGGCTGCACCTTTCTGAGCACTGTGGCCCCTAGGCCTCCCAGGCCAGCATGACCACTTTCACAATCCCTGTCTCTATCTGCTCTTATGGTATGACTCTAAATTCTCTGTGCTTCCAACTTCTCTTGTGAACAGTGGGCTATAGACCCTGAAAAAAAAAAAAGACACCTACTAAGAAAGGCTCCTGGTAGCTAAATGTACTCATTTTAAAAAACAGAGCTCAGTAGCCATTTCTGCACAGGCTCTTTTCACCAAAACTGTACTTCAGGGATAGGCCTATCCTGAACTGCTTGCCTACACAGTGTTTCTGTCATCTGAGCTAGCCCTTATAGAGGAGTTCCTGGAATCCTAATTCAACCAATAGGACTGAGGCTTTCTCCATCCAATTGGAGCTGTGCACTCCTGGCCAATCAGACCAGCTCTATTGTGACCAATAAGGACAGTACGTGGACCAGTCAAATTGTGTGAATTAGACATCCTCATTAGCATGAAGATGGACCAATCAGTGACCTGGGGCAGGGACTTCTGTCCATATAAGTAAGCCCCCCTCTGGCTCCAAGAGCATAGCTTCCCTTATACTGAAGAGTGCTTCTCCCTGGCTGAGCTGAAACACACTAAACCAGTGTAGGCCAGCACAGTGCAAAGCAGACGGTGCCCTACATATGCTTGTTAATTCAAATGTACTCAGGTTATTAATAGGGTTGGGGGAAGTGAGAAAATTTAGAAATGACAGATAGATCTGATATGGTAACCCTGTAAAACAGCATGTCTTACACAGGTCCAGGAAAAAAGGTGCTAGTCCCAGCTATGTAAAGAGAGGGTAAGACCCAGTGTTCTAGCATGTGAACCAGAGAAGGACTAGGTCAGACTCTGAAGAGCAGAAGTAGGGGTTGGAGTAGACAACACATGGCCCTCACCATGGCTCCTCAGCAGCAGGGACAGGGCTTACAACCTTTTGGCAGGGAGGGCAGGGCTGGGAGCAAGCAAGCTTACTGGTTCCATCCATGTCTAGTTAGATAGCTATGTTCTTCATTTCCCATTGGTGGGAAGGGCAGAGAGAGGGAGATACTCCAACTCACTATGCCCCCACCCATGAAATGCCAAGGCTATCATCCAATAGGGCAAAACTGAGAGGGTCAGTAAACCTTTAAGATGCATAACACATTTTGGAGGGTTCCTCCAAAAAAAATCAAAATCAGAGATGATGTTGAGAGGCATATTATCTAGGAGGTCAGGACCTGGTTCTCACTGTTGGGAAACTCTGGGAAATGGTGATGCTCAGCACTCCTACAACAGGTTTTATTTTCAAAGCCCTTTATAAGGTTAACTAATTGGTCCATGACTAGGGCCTAAGACAAGCAAATGCTATTATGGTGCAGGGTCGGGGAACATCTGAAAGGAACTCTGAAACCCCAGCCTCCCTAACCCTGCCAAGGAAACTGAGTGGGTTTTCTGCAGCCATTTCCTTTCTTCCCCCTAGCGGACCTCATAACTCTCTCACATTGTGTATGTTGCCCTTTGGAGGAACTGATTTTAAATATTGCACCAAGTCACCATTATATTATGTGGGTTCATGACATTAAGGAAAAGAAATGGAGAGGGAAAGGGGAAATACACCTGGGATGCCTACAGGATAATTAACACCAGCCACCCCTGCAAGGCGTTAATAATAATTAAATCCTTAATGTCAGTTTTATGGCTTATTACTCAGATATAGCACACAAGTATTACTGTGGGCTCAATGTCCTCCCCATGGAGACATGGGTGCTGGTACACACACAGCAGCTATCTTCTGCTGAGATCAGCACAGCAGTGGGATTTAACGAATGTGCCTCCCTTCTACCAGGCTACTGATGCTGAATAGAATTGGCTTCCCTGGAGTGAGGGTGGGTGCCACAGCTGGCCCATGTGAAGGAAGAGATCTTGGCTTGTTCAGGCATTCCCTGACCTTCCAGAAAGCTGGGGTGAAGAGTGTGGACAAAGAACTCACTCATCTTCTAGATACCAAGGACAACCCAATTTCCCTCACCCAGTATTTTCCACATATCACTATTGTGGATCTAACCACTAGTTACCAGTGGAGGCCCCCAGACTATTGGCTCCACCAAGATAGATACCGTGCCTGCTTTTGTTCCATGCTGCATCCCCAGCCCTGGCCTGCAGAGGTAACCTGTTCAAAATACCTGTTGAATGAATGTATATATGAAATCTAAGACCAACTCCCTGAAATTAGGGCTGGGCAAAAAGCCTCTGGCTGGGAGAACATTTTCTGCATGTTATTTTTCCTAAGATTTGAGGTTTGGGGATCCATGTAGCCAAAAATACTGTTGCTAACAGTGGCTGGGCCTGATGAACAGGGAAAATCCTACCAATTGCTCCATGAGGAGTGAAATAAACAGCTGGAGGAAGCA